GTCTTAAGTTTCTGGCACTGACTGTATTGTCTTGGATGGTAAACACTGTCTCATTGGCATTTAAATTGGAAAAACAAGCCATATGTGCAAATACTAGTTGATCCAAGTCTGCTCTTTAGTGCCTTCTGCCAGTGGGATGAAGAAAGCCAGTGAATGTATCATTTCCTAATCGGCTGTCTGCTGCAAAACAAAAAAAAAGGAGCAACTTTTTTATTTTATTTTTTCTACAAAGAAAAATACTGTGCCACTGTACTTTCCTCATCAGATAAAAACATACACTTTTGTGATAAACCCACTTATTTTTGTACTGCACCGTTATTTAAGCTACTTTTTAAATAATTGTATCGTCATAGGGAAGTTTATTCAGTTAAATATGTGATTCTTTTGTGAACCAAATCTATTAAAACTTGAATTCTGTACCACCAAAATATGAATTATGATAATGCCTTTATTAAAAAAAGGGAAGGAAGAACAATGTTTGTGTGGTGCTTTGGTACGATGTTTAAACTCACGGTAATCAAATCTAATGTAGGGATTAATGATTGGATTTAAAGGTTAGAACGCATGTTACCAAAGAACACTGGTGACAAAGAACAACTCATTAGGACTGAAAATGTCTCACTTTATAATGCAGCACAATTAAATGTATTATATATATATATATATATATATATATATATATATATATATATATATGTTTGAAATATAATAAGGAACTGTAAATGAGAATGTAATTATTCCAGTCATCCACTAGAGTGTGCCCACAGCCAATCAGGGATCCACCAGAAGCTCGTTTGTCTCCAGTCCCCTCACTTAGAGGTTGTCTCAGTGTCTCCATGGCTTACTGGTTTACCTCGCTAATGAAGATGTTAGCAGGTTTTTAGCCTTCATTTCCCACTTAGACTGACGTCATGCAGTAACAGCACCATGGCAGAACTAAGAAGACGAGTTCGCCTCACATCCCTGCCAGCAACATGTCTCTTTCCCCACAGACACTCACTGTGGCTTGATGTTTCACAGAGAAGCTGCGTTTAGCATTTCTCAACGTGTTCCTCCTATTGCTGATGCTTTGAAACACACACACACTCTTCTGTCTCTGCAACCTGCCAAAAGCGACTACATGACATGGTAGGCAGGTTTGACTCTGGCCGTCTGATGACTTGCCGGATAAGTTTGTGCTGCAGGCGCAGCAACCACAAGTGAGAGGAAGATAGCAGAAGCTCTTTGTTTTCTTTCTTGAGTGTAGTGCAATGTTTGTCTGTTCAGACCAACCTGATAGGCCTTCTGGATGTTCTTTTGCTATATTTACACCACCCACGGTTGTCTAAAAGGAAAGGAATTTTGGAAAATATGATTAGCTGCTGAGCGTTCAATGAGAAGGTTGATACAACTCAAGTGTGTACACTACATATGAAGCTACAGCCAGCACATGGTTCACTTTGTGCTAAGCTAAGCTAGCTGTAGCCTCATATTTAGCATACAAATATCTGATTAATATAAGGCTACAACCAGCAGCCGGCTGTATGGGCAACATCTCATTCGTTAAATTCCAATAAAAACTAAAGTGTAAACACAACTGAATTATTGTTGGTGGTGTGTGTGTTTACTGTGTATGGGTACTTGTTTTTGACAAAAAAAACACTATTTAAACCAATGATTGCACAAATGCCCACTACATGGGCAGATCTTTGTTGTGATTACTTTGTGTTTTTGGAGTCATTTTGTGTCTCTTCGAGTTCATTTTGTGTCTATTTTGGTCGTTTTCTCTCGTTAGGCGTTTTGTCTCATTTTGTGTCTTTTTTTCATGATTTGTGTCTTTTTTTTGCGTCTGTTTGTACTTGTTTTGTGTCTCTTTGTTGTCAGTTTGTGTCATCACTTTGTGGTCGGTACATGTCTCTTTGAGTGACATTTTGCAGGTGAAGGGCTGGGGGCACCTGTGCCCGGTAGTCCATTCATGCACATGGTAGCCTACACTATAAGCTCATTATCAGGTGTTCAATAGTCTGTCAGCAAAGCTGAGTTTCCGGAGCTGTTTGGTTTGAAACTGGATCCACGAAGAAACTTGCATCACTTTGATCTTATATCGCATCTAAATTCACTGTTGTGGGCTTTACTCCAAATTACACAAGAATGTAGTTGAGGACATGTTCTAGTAGCTCTTCCTTTTATTGAAGCTGAATCCCCAAATAACCTCTCGCCAGTGGGCGTTCCTTAGGATCATTTTTGTGCTTTTATTATTTCATTGATGTTTCCTGACTGAAAAAATAAGCCGATCATTTCCTTCATATTTGTAGCCCCGAGATGCATCCATCTCCACTTGGTTTGACAAGAGGTAATTAATTCCGCCTCCAAACAAAACGTTTGTCCATGACAGGTTCAGACTGTGTGAGGGCCGTGTCGGGATACGTCTCTTCTTTTTTTTTTTTTAAATTTTGTTCAGCAATATTGAGCTCTTCAAATGGATCTGATGAGAAGTTTGTACATGTCAACATGGATTTGTGAAGTTAGGTTGAACAGAAAGTGACCATAAGAGAACTACAAGAATGAAGTTGGTCCATAAATCACCGGAAAGAGTTAATCATACATGCAGAATGTGTGCAGTTGTTTGTCATTGGCAGCGAAATAGAGCAAATATAATCCATTTTACAGGATTGAGACCTGCAGCTCTGGAAGTTAAGTTAGACTCGAGATAAACAGGCTGCATTTATTTGCTCTTCATGCACACACACACACACACACACACACACACACACACACACACACACACTAAAATCACCATGTTTGCATCAAGAACAAACGATCTCCCACACAAACACTTTGCCACAGCGTGAGTCCACTGTTATTGCACTGGAAGGCAGTCTAATAGCCGCGCTGTCCTCAGCTGAACTGAGGAGGAAACCAATCTGAGAAGTTTACACAGGAAAGGAACGAGCAACTACACCTTCATTCATTAAAATGCTCTGCCAAACCCACACACCCACATCACCCGATCTTCAGAGTAGTTGTCCTCATCTCACCTCTGCTGGCCTACGAGACAGATTTGATAGGGGTGTCTGCAAGGTTGTGTTTGCTATTTGAAGTTCCAAAGGTATACGAAGCCAAACCCATGAATTACAACCTGAGAGTACTGGGTGTTGCATGTTTTTCTGGAATGTGCGCGTTCTTGAGATTTCCATGAGTCCACACGACTAATCCTGTGTACAAACACACGCTTTGTAGAATGTAGAGCATGTTTACTGTTAAGTTTAAGTCCCCGGCTGGACGGTGGTTGGTGAAAGAATGGACATGTTTGTGCAGCAGCAGTCACGTATCACTGGACACATGCTGAGACAGGGAAACAACTCTTAATCAATATAACATTTACTGCACCTGCAATGTATTACGGGATTATGAACGTGAGTTTGTACGTCTTTCAATTTGAAACATTTAATTTATTGTGAGCTGAACAGTTTATTAACAGTAATTCACAACTTTTTATACAGTGCAACTAGTTGAAAAAGCATAAAGGAAAACTACAAAATGTGTTTAAGGCCTTTATTACAGTGATACTTAGGACAGAGCAACATGTTAACTCTGAATATGCTTCAGCTTTCTCCATTTCATTTTGTTCTTTATTACATCCAGTTTTAATTACATTATGTTTATTTTTGCCACCAAACTAACTAATGTAATGCTCCAAACTGAAGGGAATAAGAGAAATATTTTAACTTCTTTCACTTTATATTATTTTGTCAAACCTGAAAGAAATAATTTATTATTGCGTTTATTATTGCTGATCACAATTAAAAGAGGATCATTTCCCGTCTTTGTGACTAATCTGTTTATCAGATGCATCATGCAGGTGAAAGACTTTTCTAAACATTATAATAATGTGCAGGAAAAAAAGCTCATGCACAATCAAAAAATGATCTCCTAATGTTTGTTAAGCACATCCTCGTACATTTCCTGTGGGGTAAAAAGTACATGTATCAAAAATGAATTGAATTTTCCAACAGCCTATGTGTAATAAAAGAGATCACATTTATTCTTAATGATCACAAAATAAATTTCTCTTTCTTTTGTGATCAGCAATGAATTAGATCTCTCAGCCATTCAGACAATCAACAGGATTTCTCACACAGACTCCACCATGTAAGATGATCCGGGAGGCTCTGGAGGGTTTGGTAAAAAAATGAAGTATTTTGTTGCAGCAAAAACAAATTTGTTGAAATTATGAGACTTAGAAAATGTTTAGTAAACCATCTCAATTGTATTCAATGGATATGATTTAAACCAGGAGTGATGTTGAGAGGAGTTTCTATTCTTTCAACATAGGTAAACATATATATAGATTTACATATTTACATATCAAATTACTCAGTGGTTTCTACATAAGAACAGTGTACCGTCATAATCAGTAGACATTAAACGCAAAGTACACCTACATCGTCATTTCTAATTGCTACAACTATAAACGAAAAAATTGACCTTATTGCAATTGTATTTTCATTTCGTGCAATCATCAAATAATAACCTATATGTATATATTTTTTAAAGCAACAAATTGCCCTCTTCGTGCGTCTTTGCGCACGGTGCGCTCCGGCAACGCTGGAGCCCGCAAAGGGTTAAACAGGGTTACCAGCAATCCTTTTAACAGGCAGGTGCCCCGCCAGTCCCAGCCCAAAGCTTACCGCTGACTTTTTAAAAAGCTTCTTCCAACATCTCGGGAGCAACTCATAACTGTCATTGCTGCGAGCAACTTCGCGAGTCATGTTAACGGTGATGGCGGTAGATCCTTCGTATACATAGAGGGATAACAAACTGGATAAATCAGCTGACACGCATCAGGATCACACGCGTGTGATGCGCCATTGAGTTGCGTCGTCGTTTCACCTACTTTTACATTCAGAGCCGTGGAGTTTTACTCAATTGCTGGAAATCTCAGAAATCTGTCAACTTAAAAAGAAAGAAAGAAAGAAAAAAAATCTTTCGCACTTGTTGAGTTGAGTTCCGCTCTGGAGATGTGGTGGATGCTGTTTCCACGGTGGATCTGGTTCCTGGCGTGTGTGTCAGTGTGGATGGAGCACCAGGACGGAGTTTTGCCCGATGTCACCTATTCACACCCGGGGATCTGCCCCAATGACATGAACCCCAACCTGTGGGTGGATGCCATGAGCACCTGCACGCGAGAGTGTGAATCTGATCAGGTAATGTCACCAAAGTAACCTTTCAGAATTAAGTGTTCTTAGTTATTCTGCATGCAATTTATGTATTAAAGAAAATTATATTATATGTTTTTATTCATTTTCTGCTCTGGATTGTAATGAATCTCTATTCTGGTATTTATCATTGTTGACTGTATGGAAATGCCTTCCAGATGCCGGCAGCCTCCCGCATCTGTAACTCTTTCTTCTCCTCTTACAGGAGTGCGAGTCCTTTGAGAAGTGTTGCCAAAATGTGTGTGGGAATCGGAGCTGTGTGGCGGCCCGTGTCCTGGACGGGAAGAAAGGCCCCATGGGAATGCCCAAGGAAGCCACCTGCACCAGTTTCATGTGCACCCAGCAGGGGTCTGAGTGTGACATCTGGGACGGCCAGCCGGTGTGTAAGTGCCGGGACCGCTGCGAGAGGGAGCCGCACTTCACCTGCGCGTCCGACGGCATGACCTACTACAACAAGTGCTACATGGACGCAGAGGCGTGCTCCAAGGGCATCGCCCTGGCCGTTGTCACCTGCCGCTTCCACCTCACCTGGCCCAACATCAGCCCGCCGCCGCTGCCCCAGGCGACCACTCTTCGCCCTACCACTGCTCCTCTTCAGGCGACCATCCCGCCGCCCACCGAGCCTGAGACGCCCGCCATGGTCAGCAGCCCCGCTCACCAGACTGTGGCTGTGGGGGACACAGCCAGCTTCCTGTGCGAGGTGAATGGTCGCCCTCGGCCTGAGATCACCTGGGAGAAGCAGCAGCCGGAGGGGGTGGAAAGGGTAGCCATGAGGCCTAATCATGTGCGGGGGAACATGGTGGTCACTAACATTGGTCAGCTGGTCATCTACAACGCCCAGCCGTACGATTCAGGCATATACACCTGCACGGCTCAGAACCCATCTGGCTCGGTGCGGGCCGACCACCCGCTAACTGTGCTGCCCACGGAGCCATCCACAAACCCTGCGCCCATGAACGTGACACGCTGCCTGCCAGAAGAGTGCCTGAAACCTGCCGATAACCCAGAGGATTGTGGGAGCGAGATGGAGAAAGTCAGCTGGTACTTCGAGCCCAAGACCAACAACTGCTTCTCCTTCACTCACTGCCACATCGACAACCAGCAGCCCAGGAAGGTGTTCGAAACATACAAGGAGTGTATGCAGTGCTGTGGTCCCGAGCTTTCGGGCCCCTGCGGGCTCCCCAGCCCGCAGGGGCCCTGTAAGGCCTACGAACCGCGCTGGGCTTACAGCAGCACCCTGCAGCAGTGTCAGCCCTTCATCTACGGAGGGTGTGAGGGCAACGACAACAACTTTGAATCCAAAGAAGCCTGTGAGGAGATGTGCCCCTACCCGAGAAACCACCACTGCAGGGCCTGCAAGCCGAGAGGCAAGATGGTGACGAGCTTCTGCCGGAGCGACTTCGTCATCCTGGGCCGCATGACGGAACTCACAGAGGAGAAGGACTCGGGCCACGCCCTCGTAACCGTGGAGGAGATCCTGAAGGACGAGAAGATGGGTCTCCGCTTCTTCGGCAAGGAGCCCCTCGAGGTGACCTTCCTCAACATGGACTGGAATTGCCCGTGCCCGAACATCACGGGCGCTGCCGCCGAGGGACAGGTCATCATCATGGGCAACGTGAGCGACGGCATGGCCGTCCTTCAGCCGGAGAGCTACGTGGGCTCCTCCAGCCCCCGCCGCGTACGGAAGCTGAGAGAGGTCATCTCCAAGAACACGTGTGACATTCTCAAAGCGATCACCAACAGCCCGCAGTAGGGTTAGGATTAGGGAGGTGACGTGTACATGAAGTTTAGATTAGACTACACCAGGCTGCTGTCTGCTGAGCATTAACTGCAGTTATGTTTAGAATTTGAGGATCATTCGTGTAACATTTAATGGATGTCGTTCTTGTTTTTGAAAGTTTTCAGGAATCCCGATGAGGGACCCTGTCTGTTATGGCGCGGCCATTGGTGTTGTTGATTGAAATACCATGTATGTGAACACACGAGATATCCGTCATGATCCTCTTGTTGCCTTAATCCCCCAGTCTCCGACTTCCCTCATGCCCTCTCTTGCCTCCAGCTGAAATGGAGTTTGCATTGAAGCACAAAACCGACACGATTGAGTTTGATATTTATGTACATAATTTAAGCGTCACAATTTTTTTCCGATTTATTGTTTTATTGTTTTATTTTCCAGCCGTATTTCCACCTGGCACTTGTGATATCTGATCACACTCCTTCCTTCATACATTTACCCCTTATTTTATTCCTTCAGTCTTCATGTTGTGTAAATGCATCCATATACCCGTGCAGGGTATTGCACATACAGTACGACAAGGTAGATTCGGTTCATCCAAATGAATGAGTTGTAATATATTTTATTAACCATCACACTTTGTCACAGTCATTTATTTGGCATCTACTGGCTATTACTTTTTTGGCTATTTATTATCATGTCAGCTTTTCTTTTATCTTGTTTTTGTACTTCACGTTCTCCCTCTGAAATGATTTTGTATGATTCTGTGGAGAAAATAAAGATTTTACATTTCCCATCGGTCTCCTTTTATTGAGTTTTATAGTGATCCTATCCATGTACTATTGGATTATATTCAATGACAGGGACCGAGTGATTTCAGCGTTTCAAGCTTATTACATTACATTACAGTCATTTAGCAGAAGCTTTTATCCAAAGCGACTTACAATTCAGGTTTTATCACATTCGTAGACCGTAGGCGCAGCTATGGGAGCAATTTAGGACAAGGTACACATTGAATGTGTGACTACATCTTAGCTCTAGGTTTCAGTGCCCCTGTACCGGATGGAGGACAGAGAGTGGCTGCTCCTTGTACCTGTGTGGTCACTCTGACCGGCTGTGATAAAAGAGACTAGGGAATAGCAAATCCCCAGCCCCCCCCCCCCTCCACCTCATCCTCAAAAAACCCAAAACAGAACCCATCCATTCTAAAGACCCCTGTGGCATTGTAAAAACTTCACCCTGTTTTGCTTCGCCTCCCTGATCCAGTGTAATTGGGTAAGGAGCCCAAGCTGTAAAGCTCAGATCCAATCCCAAACGAGTTATGTGTTTCATGCCGTGCCAGCAGGCGTCTCTGGGTTACTAGGAACAGGCCTTGGTGGGCTTCGACGAGGGTGTTCCACTTCCCAGATGAGATTCTGTTTCTCCCATCCAGAGCGGTCGAGGGAGGCAGGAGATCAGCCCATGTACGGTGTTCCTTTACTGGCAAAACCCCCGGGGAGCTCAGACCTGCACTTCAGCAGCTGTTGAGACTCTGAAGCAGAGAAATATTAGATCTGCAGCACCTTGGATCGCATCAGAAAGCCATATAAACAAGGTTCACTTCAACAAAGCAAACCTACCAACAGACATTTTATCGCTTTTCGACAAACACTGTTTATTCATTTCAAAATCACACACTTGTTATTTCCCCCCTAACAGTTATGTATCCAGAATGTAGCTCCTGCGCACGTTCTGAGGTCACTGGGTTGGACGGGTTCATACACGAAGCCACGTTGAAGGTTTAATTTGTGATTATCTTCATCTGATTTGAACACGAAGAGTAAACCATTACGATCCTGTAAGAGTACTGTCCAAAATGCTTCTTTAAAGCTAGGGATGGCAATGTTGTGAAACTAGCAAGATTTATATTTTAAAAATCATCTGACCCCGAAAAACAACAACCCAGTGTTGCAAACTCTTTTTCCGATGAAAGTAGCTAACAGCGCTAGCTCCAAAAGCCGCTTAATCTACGGAGAAAATACGCCAACACTGACAGTCCGCCCCTTCAGGCCATATGCATCTACAAAAGTTATTATGAAAAGTATTTTTTGGTGATATACATCTGTTAATCCATAGACATATATGTATGGTTCATGTGTAGATTGCCAGGGTATATTGCTGCGTGCTTGTGTGAATGTATCGATCCTATGGAAACTCATTTCTTCCAAGAAAAGAAAGGGACAGATTAATATGTATGCATGATTAAAGTCAAAATACTAGTAGATATAATGTAAGTCCAAATATTGACTCATGTATTCAGAACTATGAGGGAGTAAGTCAAATTTTAAAAAATAATTCAGAATCAAATTTCATAATATGTCATCATTAAGCCGAGTGAGATGGTTTGGGGATGGGATTAGAGAAATTATGTTTTTTTAATTTTACAGCATGATGTATAATAGTTTATCAACACACATGTATGTGTTGTATTCAAGCACATACATAGATGGTGTGAATCTACTAGTGAATACACTTTGGTGGAAATGATTAAAGTAATGAAAATGAAAATGCTTGTTGTGCAAAATTCTGTTAATTTTGTTAAATTTTGATTTTTTTTTTTTTTTGTGGAATACTTGATATTTTTACCTATTCAGGAAAAGGGGACAAATGAGAGGAAGAATATGTATTTATTATTCATTGCGGGAATAAAGTATAAGCTTTCATAGAGCTTTCAGTATTAGTGACATGCAGGCATTTTGAAGATAAAGTTGAAATACCATTTTACAAAAGAAATCTAAATGTTGAGAATGTTGTCCGAATTTTAAGAATACAGTCGATATGTTAAGAATAGAGTTGAAATACTATTTTGAGAATGAGGACAAGATCTCGAGAAGAAACGAAACCACACACTAGATTTTGACTTTATTCTCAAAATAAATTCTCCCTGCTCTCATTTTTGCCCCTTATGCCTGGTCCTAATACTCTTCTGCATGTATTAGATATAGACACCAGCAAATGAGGGTGAGAGAGGAACAAAACCCCGGTCCTGGCTCATGGTTGTTAAACTGCAGGTACGCTTTGTAACATTTTAAGCCCAAAATGTTTGTTACTGCTGGACGTCGATCTGTTTAAACCACAGACTGGAACTTTGGGGGAAACTTATGGCTTCTTAATGGTTGTCGGTGGTACATATGTGCACTCTATTGTCCTCTGATTTAGCTTGGATCGAGTCCAATTGGTGAATTTTATAGCAATCACAGATGCAACCAACAGTTCAGCTGAGGGAACTAGTTCACCTATCAAACAAAAAACCTTCAAAACAACCTCAATTATTTTCCTCTCCTTTCCTCCTTTTATGTCCATTAAAAAAACCCCAAAGAAACACCTCTAACCACTTCAATGCGTAGTCTGAGGTCCACAAAAGCACAATTTATTCATTTATTAACACTTAAAATTCCGAATATTTAAAACATGTGTGATCCTTATTTTTCAAGTCCTTTTATGCTTTTCTAATTTGAGTCGGGCCAAGTAAAAGGGCACAAGAGTTATGCTTTGATATGCAGTCCGGAATTTTCTCTCACATATTGTTTTTTTTTCCCCTCTCAGGCTTTGCTGATTTGATGGGGTCAATGCGTTCACAAGCTCAGTTCACACAAGGCAGGAGAAGTCAGTGTGGTCCACATGCGGGGCTCAGATGTAGACCTGCGGCAGGTAGAGAGGACACGGCGGCTAGTGGAGACAGTACAGTAGAGCGGTTACACTCCGCGCGTATTTCTATGCAGAGCCCTCCGTGTTGTGTATCCAGAAGAGAGGACAGTGGCACATGTTGAACAGATCAGCTAGCCGGGTGGTTTGAGACCTCTGATTCATGACCTGCATCTGTTATGGCCATATCATGTGTAACGTCTATCGAAAAGATACAGTAGCCACTCACACGCATCGACTGCAGATGAACGGGGTCCCATGGCAGTATGTCATCCTGAGGGCAGCAGCAGCCGGGAGCTTTTGATGCTGGTAGGTGGTAGCTGCTGTGCTCTGGATGGGGAAGTGATTGAGAAATGCCATTCCGCGCCTCACGCCGAAATGCTGCTCTTTGTCTGAAAAGGCCATCAGTGAAAGCCAGGAAAAGATGAATAAAGGCGTCATTATTCTAGTGTTGAGTCTGAGAATCGTATATGTCTCTACTAATCAAATCTGAAGCCTTTGGTTTGGTTTTCACAAATGTGCTGATCAATTAAGTAACTTTTGGAAGGGGTGCTTCTCTCCCATTGAAGCACTTATGGAGTATAAAGCTCGTATTTGGTCTCATTAGTGCAGAGCAGTGTACTGGCCCCTGTTCCAGCGCAGTGCAGCTTAACCTGACTCTATCAGACGAGGTCGAGTGAGCCACAGCATCCTCTGGTGTTGAATGAAGCTTGTCTACATAAAGCTGGTACAAGCGTTCTGCACACAGACCCATTGATAAGAGGTTGGAAATATTCAGTAGGCCCCAAGTGTCATCTGAGCTGTCTAGAGTTCTGACATGTAGTGCAGGTCTACTGTGAATGTGCTCTGCAGGACAGTCCCAACAACTGGAAGTGTGGGAAATATCTGATAAAGATGTGTGTTATTGTTAGCGATGCCGTTGTTTTCTCCTTCTGCTGAACGAGGCTAAGCGAGCAGGAGTGAAGTTGCTTCGTCTCATTTATTTGTCCTATTTGCATGAGCTATCATCGGTCTATCTGGTGCCAGCCGGTACCTGTAACACTTACAGCTTATGATGAACATGGCGTTTTATATTGCTTTAGTTATAGTTTTCCTATTGTTATCGTCAGAGGAAATCAACCACCTGTTGATGAGCACTAAGGGAAAGCTACAAGCCTGCAGGCTCATGAACAATATCAGGAGGAAAGCAAATATACACGTGGTGGATGGGCAGGAGGGCAGCAGCTGGTGATGCAGAATCTAGAGTTTAAGAAGAGGGATTCATCTAAATAACAAAGCTTGTTGCCTTGCAGTTATGGCTAATGTTTGTGGCTAATGTGTGATAATGTACTGAC